AAGCTTAAAAGCTACAGCAAGCAAAACAAAGGCAGTGCGAAATAGCAATCGATTGGAGGATAAAGATGTGAGAGGAGCAGAGGCATACGATAAGCTCATTGGCAACAGGCCGCTTTTGAAAGGACTGCGAAATTGAACATGTGAGAAATTAATCCCAAGCTAAAATATACGGTAGTTTAGGAGAGGTGTGCAATGCAAATGAATGCACTGAAACGAAAGCAGAACGAGTAAAAATCGAATAGGTACAATAAACAAATCCAGATTGCCTCGCCAGGCTTCAAACACTTTCACACCTCCGTGGTCACTATTCAGTGGTAACGACAATTATCATGGCATGTGCATTATGCAAGTCTCAGGTGAAAATAGTTAGCTAATATAACATAAACACATCAAGCTTCCGAGAAGAGATTCATGAAATCCTGGGTGTATTCGATATGTTTTTAACAAATTCATCCAAGCCTCATTATTCATAGTTTTTGAAACTACTTATCTACTCGCACACAACCCACATTAGCACTGAGTCCATTTAGCTGAACTTCACGTTACGCCAATAAAATTTCACAATCCTGATTGAATCTTATAATAATTCTCCGGTTAAACTTTCCTCCTTCATTCGAAGCTGAATTTTGCACCATTCGGTTCCACGCGAAAGATTTTGGCACCTCAACCAGAAAAAAAAAAAAACGGAAAATGAAAAAAAAAAAAAACCTCTGTTTCAGGGGAAAAACGGAAAATGAAAAAAAAAAAAAACGGGGACCGAACCAAGACGGGCAAATTTCACACGTGCACCTATAAAAATTGCTCACACCGAACTAATGATGTGAAGCCTTCAAAGTCACTAACATGTAGCCAGACACTGAACTTGGTCACCTTCTCCCTACCTATTCCCCCTCGACTGTTCCTATCAGTGCCAAACACAACGGTACGGACTTTTCGGTGGTCGACTGATTCCCCACCTGGAAAACTGATTAGCTGATAGAAACATCCTATGCTTGTCAGCAAAGCCAAAATTTATCATTTTTAGATAAAATATAAATGAACCCAAATTTAGACCTTTCCGATTATTTTTACCCCGCACAATGTGATGGCAAAAAAACTTTGTCAGTCCTTGTCCTAAAAGTTTTGTTTCGATAGTAAATTGGTACTAGCATATGTTGGAGAGCAAATCCGCCATCAGCTTTCTTCCAAGCGATCTCGAAAGCGAGAGCCATTAATGGCTTTGTCAGCGGATGAATTGCTGTTGACACAAACTACCATTCGGGCTAATTCCAATCATCTTCATCTCTTAGGGACAGCGATTTCCGGGAGGGTGCTGTCTTTTGACAAGTTATCTAAGCAATAAGACTATGGAAAATGGGATAAGATTTTCGTAAGTCAAAATGCCAGCAGACTTAAGTTTCCAACAAAACACTTCTACTGCACCAACCTTTTTTCATTGCCATAAGATTTTTGCGCCACTTTAGCATGAAATATGCTCACGATGCAGTCATATTTTGGACGATTACTCAAATAATCCTCCATTACTTCCCTGCAATAACAGCTGTGAGAGGCAAACAATACGAAATAGCACAGCTAATTTGAATATGCGCTTCTGCGCTGCAACAGAAAGCAAAGATGCATTAACGGGAGCGTAGTAGTTATATACCTATACATGTGACGACATCAACTTTGGAACTAAAGTTCAGAAACCTGCGGTTCTGTGAATAAACTCCCCAACTGCAAGCAAGTCCTCAAAGCTTAAAACAACTCTCAGGTCATCGTGTCTCTGATGCTTAACCTTGGGTACAGCTCGAGTAAATTTCATAACTCAGCTAAAAAGAGATAGCAGCATGAAGTTTTGGGAGCAAATTCTTTGCTCATACAGAAGGTTGAAAACCCGAAATTAACTCAGGCGTTTTTGCATGCCCCAATCTATGGCCTTAAGCTTAAATTCAAACAGCTTTTACAAGTCAGGAATTAAAAAGGTGCAAGTGCGAAATTTTATGAAGAAAACTTTTTAGATGTGAAATGAGAGGAAAATAAACTGAGAAAATTTATAGTTATTCGGCCACTTTTTGTTACAGAATGTGTTGTTAAATCAAAAACGAGCAAGGCAGGCATGAAATTTCAGGCGAATATCTCCTTGGCAGATCTAAAAATACAATAACATTTAGGCTCAGACAATTTAATTTCAGTTCAGGCCTTCCGGACGAAGGAAAAGGAAATGCAGGGAATTACGCCACAGGAAGAAGCGTTTCCGTTAGTCATCTGGAACTAACAACGAACTTCTCCCTTAACTAATTACAAGCCACTTTCATAAAACGATAAAGAAAACTAAGGGATGATCAGCCTTTTCTACCCATCCCCGCAGCCCTCATCCAAGCTATGCTAATGCATAAGTCTAAACTAACAACGCACATAAGCTAATTTTTACAGCTCACAGTAGATTTCTGATGGAGTCAACGTGTACCAGAGCATTTCAGCCATAACAACCGTTAGTTTGCAAATGGCAATCCTTTTTATCTTTTTTCAACAAGATCAGATAATACAATACAATGCCCCTCTTAAGAGCCGATAGCAAACAAGCTAAGGTAGCACAGTTAACTCAGGCAAGCCACCGTGGATGGAAAATAAGACGGTGCATTAGAAAAGTTATGCTCCGGAAGCAGCGGTATCCTGCCATCACAGCTTCTTTAGACAGTTCCAGTGATAACAAAAAACAATGCATTAAGCAGTTTCAGTCCCTAAAACACAGCGGAAAAACGAAACCACATGGTGCTATAAAAAAAAAAAAAATGCGCAGGAAGAAGCGTGGATACGAACCTGGTCAACGACTGTTGCTCACCAATGATATTTAGAAATGGTAACGGTGGCGGTAAATTCATCGAGCCGATACAGTGGAAATTTTGTTGCGATGCAATCCCAGCACTGATATTACTGCTACTGTTGAATGAATCGAACGCACCACACGTCGACCCAAACGCGGCGCCCGAGGAACTCGGCAAACCGCCATAGAACGGATCTAAAAATTTTCAAGGTGAGGGAAGGAATGAGGAAGAGAACCACAACTTGGGAACTGGATAATGTATGAATCTCGATAAGAACGGCATTTGCTTTTTTGTAAAATTAA